CTTAATATTTCAAGCTTATCAATCACTTGCAAGTGAAATGTAAATATTATGTTGAAACGCAGGATTGATATGCATCTTACGACCTTAACATAACGGCATGTCCATGGGTCCTGCAGCGGTAACTGAGTACCGAATTGACCCGCAGGTGTGGAAACGAACGAATACTTACTAACGACGTGTCACCGCCACACTAGGAACCCTCCTCTTTGGAACAATGGCTACAGATCCACTGATGGTCTTACCTACACAGCGAACTTGACCTTAGTATACAACGCGCCGACTACATCAGAAATACGTAGCTACGCTATTCACATGAGTGTACGGCCAACCGAAGAAACACAGCACGAGAACTTTGTAGCTGTAAAGCTTCTTAAAAATTCTATTTGCGAAGAAGTCTTAGCTTTACCTCTTTCATACGAGTTACTGCATTTTTTCTGATTGCCTCACACTGCCTTAACAATCACACGCACATCCTAAGCGAAATCGCACACTTATCGATTCTCCAGATTGCTCGCAGTGGCATGATTACACTATGCATGCCGTATCACGTGTGGCCAGATAGGCAAGCGAGCAAGGAAGGCAAGCGTACAGTCAACCCGTAAGTGTACAAAGCTTCTCTACCAACAGCCTGCAAGGGTTGCAGCCTCAACAAAAACTAATAATCCACTTTTTATTACCACTCACTTAGACGTCATCTCGCTCGAGTGGTAATGAAACTTTACGCCAGATTGCCAGTATGACCAATCACGTATTATGTCTCCCATTGGCCGTTCACTCTCGACACCATTGAAGTGTGCTGCTACATCTGCGATCAGCAGATTGAGGACCGACAAACGGTACAGCGAATTTCAAGCCTACTACCAGCCTGCAGGTAGTTTTAAACAAAATAATCGTTCTAACATATGCTCTTGTTTAAAAGTACCAGCACATTCTGTGCCGCACCAATGCGCGTCAGAAGGAAAGCTGAGGCGTTCTCTCTGAAGTATGACCGTCCAATCGACATGACTGAAAGCGTCCGTACGACTGCACGCGCGCACAGCGTCACATTTGTTAGTCTTCCCTTTGGTGTGGCCGCAGACTCGACCCCAAAATGCATCGCGTGATACGCAGCGGACCAATGTGGCCCGGAGCACACGAGTTTACTGGCTACGATTGCTAAAGAACTGGTAAACTACCTATATATATATATATATATATATATATATATATATATATATATATATATATATATATATATATATATATATATATATATATATATATATATATATATATATATATATATATATATATATATATGATTTGGCGGCGTCCGTATCCGGATTTGCCTGTCACTGTGACGTCCATGGGGACAGTCACAGGACGCCTGCGCCTACAAAGTGGACCATGGATGGCTTGCGCTGCACCACCCATAGTTCCACCCACACACCCCATATCCAGTGTAAACCCGAAGGAATAAGACCGGGAGGCATGCGGATGGGAGCCACGTTTCATCAACGGAACCGGCCCACACTCCTTCAACAAGCAGAACGGAAGCATTCCTGCCTAATTGGGAAATCATACACACCAGACGTACACATGGCGGTGGCTGGACCGTAGTCCGTTCCACACTGAATGCATGGAACCACTCTTTGAGCCTAGCACCGTCACGAGGACAATGCACTCCGTCCCCTCCAGCGACGACCAACTGTCTCCTGGAGCCAGTATGGACGAGGTAGCGGGTAATAGACAGGTAGGCACCTTGTCAACATTCACATCAGGCGCATCCACACAGGGGTGCTCAAGCAACATCTACTTCTGAAATGCAAGATTACTCATCACGCAGGCAAACGTACCACATACGCCGCCTTATTGGCCTGGATTAGTAAATTGAATGGGAACATACTCATGGTGCTTCTATTCCACATACTATAGTGCCGTCTCCGGCAACTGAGAAACCGCCCTTTTGAGCATTCCACGGAATTCGCATCGACCAAATTTGCCTTAGATTCGCAACACCTGAAATCAACATGAGTCTGTCGTAAACTCACCTTCTTCATGTTCTGGTAATATTATTTTCGGTTTGCTCGAATGTCGTTCTACTGCACTAAGTTAACCGTACAAAAGCGGTATGAAGATCCTCGTGGAATTCATTCGGTATACATATATACATAGATTGGCGTCACCTGTGTCCAATGGCAGTTCGAATGCAACATATGTACATGCGTTTGTCCAAACTTAAGTGTGAGCTGTCACAAACTGCCTAGAGGCATATTAGACATCATCATCAATGGTATGACAAACGTGTATGGGTTTCGTTTGGAGGTCAGGCTAACGACCACTTTCGCAGGTATGAGAATAACTACCCAATACGAACTGTTGATATTTTCTTCTACCTTTAGACGTGACTGCCTTAAATTTTGGGCATCCGTATTTGAAGGGATCCGATGTGGCAATAGTAAAGCAACTGCTAGGTAGAATGATGACTAGACTACTGGTACAGTGAAATAGTGTGCACTTAGGTGTTGCCCTCTACATGTACAGTCTGGTTTGAGTAACTGATGTGGGAGATCACACAGCATGCGAATGCGATACAGTGTCCACTTCTGGCTCTCTGTGTCTCCGACCGGTTTGGTCATGTGCTGCCCGAGGCATGTGCACCTACTCAAAGAACTATTGATGGGCAACCATTGGATTGACAAGTGAAATCAACTTAGTCCCGCTGTCCACTGTCAAACATGCGACTTTCCAAACAGTATTCATATTTATTGTGCAAATGTCCAAGTACTCAACCGGTTATACCTACCGACCTGTACTCTACTGTGGCCATAAGCTATTTGCTAACGGTCTACATAGTACGTTCCAGGTGCAGCCCATTCGGTACTCATAAAACCACTGTCGCTATGCGCCGACTCATTTCCGATGTTATATAATAACACATTGACGTACCATTCCCGTTAGATGCAACCTTTTACTTAATCCATTCAAAAGATTGGCCATGTGCAATGCAAATGCTGGTAGGCGTCTCTGCACGTCTGCCTTCCATCCGGTTAATACGTGTGTTTTCATAGGCCCCGGTAAATTCAGTATGGCTAAGGGATAACTGGAACTATAACTATACTCACTTTCTTCACTAGCCTTCAGAGTGGAACATGGAATGGCAGCATCGTGATAATCGCTAGTCGGTTAATTGTCGGGATTGTTCACTTGACACATATATATATATATATATATATATATATATATATATATAGCTAACACTAGGCCAACAAGCATCTGGCAAAGTGCCACAACACACTGTAACGGTAAGTAAACAAATGGGGGGAGGGAGTAAAAGCTGTTCCGAGAAGAGTCTCCTACACTTTCGCCATTGGGTAGGATCCTAGGACATACCGATTGTCTATGCAACCAAGTGTGCTCACTGTCTTTGGGTCCCCAACCTGGGAATCTGGTTTTCCCTAAAGTCGCCAACCGCTAGAGCATTGCCTTGACACTTTGGACCGACGTTGAGGGTTAACCACCAATATGTCGCTTACAACCAACGCCGACGCATGCAAACGAAGCGCGGAAAGGAAACCGTTGGACAGGCTTACGGAGGACGTGTCCGAGCTACCGGAGCGCACGCGAAGAAATTACGCTGTTCAGAGGTCGCCGGAGACTGTCAGACTTAAAGATCTGACGTCGAACATCGTCAATGCTAACGCTATGTTGCCGACGTACACCAGAGATGCCCTAGAAGCAGCATTGCTCAAAAATAAATAAATAAATATATGGCTGGAGGCATCCGTTTCCGGATTGCCTGTCAATGCGGCCTCCACGGAACAGCAACAGGACGCCTGCGCCTATAGAGGGACCATGGGTAGGTTGCACTGCACCAATCATGACTCCATCCATATACCCCATATTCAGTGTAAACCCGAAGGAATAAGACCGGGAGGCGTGTGGATGGGAGCCACGTTTCATCAACGGAGCCGGCCCACACTCCTTCACATGCAAACACAAGCACGCTATAATTGAGGAATCAATGGCACGCAAGACGGTGGCTGGACCATAGTCCGCTCCACACTGAGTCCATAGAACCCCTCTTTGAGCCTAACACGGTCAGAAGTACCGTGCACCCCGTCCCCTCCAGCAACGACCAACTGTCTCCTGGAGCCAGTATGGACGAGGTAGCGGGTAATAGACAGGTAAGCACCTTGTCAACATGCACATCAACCGCAACCACATCGGGGATGTCAAACAATAGCCAATCACTTGAAATAACATTATCAAGTCAAATATTTCTGTTAATGTATACGGTTATACAGATATAACTATTCGTTAAAATAGCATATAAATTAAGTTGGTTAGCAACGAATCCGTGATAGGTACAAAATGTCCACAAATTATTCAAAAAATGCCACAAACGCGATAAAGTTAAATAGATAAGCACAATTAGCACAAATAAAGCGTGCAAGTTAAAAGAAAATTATGCAGGTAGGCAGAACAAACCAAATAAGTTGGGATCAAATTTATCCAGCTTAAAATATCAAGTTTGTGAGTGCACTCACTGACGCTTCGCACTGCGCCGCACTATTACATAAACGCGCACTGACGATGTTATCTTGGGTGATGACGAAACATTTGCAGCCAAACTACCGAGCTCAGCGAACACTCAGACCGCCAACTGAACAACCTGAGCTACCAACATTTGCTTCCATCTCCAAGGTTTCCTGAGCTTTAGCAATTATAAGTATACCATCCGCATATGCGTGGTATTCAATCGGTTCTGTTGCAGATATGTCTGCTGAAGTGGGCCGGCTTATATAAAGCACATGAAGACAATCCGGCTCCTTAACCCACTCTTGTCAGTGCATGTCTATGGGTGATCACACTAGACTTTCACAAATTCCATAACTCACACAACACATCGCAATCGGATGGCTAGTACAGATTTGTGGAGTTGCTGAAAAGTAGCACACGTTTGCGGATTATAATGCGTTCAATAAAATACAGTTTGAGGCAGAGCACGAAGTAGTTTTCGATCCGCTGATTTTATTCAAATGAAATGCGGAAGATAACAGAACAAATCTAAATTAATATCTCAAGAACAGTGCATTCATTTTCTAGTTTACTGATGCATGACTTATTTAGGATCCAAGCTGGTTATGAATAACTTGGACCCGGAAGCAAACGCAATCTGAATGTTTTTCCGCAGTTCCTCTTCGCTGTTTGAAGCGTAGTCTAACGAGAAGACTCCTCCTGGAAGATCATTTATAGTAGCCACTGCCTGCAAGGAAGTTGGAACACGGTAACATTGAATTGCATGTCATTCCAATATGTAACACTCGAGTTCGCAATGAAGATTCTATAGCAAATTACTAATCTTCGAAAGAATTACTAGCTTGTACAGAATTGCAGTGCAAAAGTGGGCTAGTCAGTAGAGACAAATAAAAGAAGTAAAGGTTAATTAACGTTTTGATACGCTCACCGAGCTAAGTACATTAATGGCAAACGTTTCACCACTTCGCTCAGTGGCATCTGTAGTGCACTACTGCGTAGCGGAAAATCTCACGGAGAGTGTCTTCGGGACGCAGCTTTTGAAATTGGCCTCCTAAATCTGTGTCCCGTGACCTACGTTTGTTAGATTTTCGGCAGCACAGTTTCACGCTTTATCAGTTGTAGGTACGCTGGATCGAGGTCAATGTGGAGGCTCTCTGAATACTCCCTAGAGAACTATGCCTCAAAGAATTCTCTTCTATTTCTTATCCCTCCGTGCGCCAGCATTTTCTGTGTTGTCCCAATTAACGTTGTATGTTTCCTCATCGAGATGCGCTGAGATCTGTGATGATACGTAATGATAGCTGCATGCACGCTAGTGCACTTGTAGTCTTGTAGATAGTTTTCTGCCCGTTTGACCCACATAGTCTAGCACACAGTCCATGCACCATATCCTGTAGACCACATTTCGGCGTTGGTGTGCCTAGTTTTTCTTTAGATCTAGATAAGATTCCCTTCAAAGTCGCAGTTGGTATGTGAGCTATCATCAGTTTCCGCGACTTGAGGAGTCTGGCTGTCTTTTCCGTTACATTTTCGATGTACGGCAAGGCGATGCTTTTCGCCGTTGTTGGTGTAGGTGCGGTAGTTTTGCTCCTTCGGTTTAGATGTCTTCGGATGAAACTGCGTGGGTAGCCGTTGCGAATGAAAGACATAAACAGATGTTTCACTTCCTTTCGTTTTGCCTCCACAGTATGGCAATACGATTCTATCCTACGAAACAGGGTCCTTATACAGTTTATATTGTGATACTTAGGGTGATGGCTGTTGAAGTTCAGGAGTTGATCGGTGTGTGCTGCTTTTCTGTAAACTGACGTTTGTAATTCGTCTTCCACTGTTCTGGTAACCAACTCGTCCAAAACGGGTAGTTGCTTTTCCATCTCTTCTTCCATGGTGAAACGTTACTTTCCATTACATTTTTAAGTAGATTTTGTGCGTTCTGTAGCTGGCTGCTTTTGAGAATCACAAACGTATTGTCAACTTATCGCACTCATAATTTGGGACTAGTGACTGGGAGTATATCATCTTCCAACCTCCGCATGACGACTTCCGCAACAAGTCCAGCTGTGGTGTATTCCGTTGGAGCTCCTCTAACTTGGTCGTAAAACACTCCATTGAATTTGAAATAGGTAGTAAAACATAGGTCGAAGAGTTTACATATGCTTTCTGTTGTCAGATTCCCAGTCGTTTGTCCTCCACCGTTCAGACATCCTCTGATGTTATCTTTTGCTGCCTGTAATTTGATAGAGATGAAAAGTACGGTAGCGTCATAGGACATCATCACTTCTTCATGGTCTATCCGCATGTATTTGAGCTTTTCCAAAAGCTGGTGAGCATAACTGATCAAGTATTGGGATCTGCTGGTCAGATGTTTGAGGCCTTTTCATAATTCTTTAATCAAGTTTTAAGTTGGTGTACCTGGGAGTGATACTGTTGGTCGTAGCAGCGCACCCCCTTTGTGTACTTTCGGAAGCCCCTAAAACTGTGCGATGTTTGAATCACGAGCCTTCATTCTATCACATTCTCCCGTTGTGAGTTAATTTAAATCTTAAGTCTTAAGTGTTTTATTCACATTATTTGTCAACCGTACTGTTGGATTGTACTCCATGCGTCAATAAGTTGCTGTATCGGTTAGGAGATGACTAGCTTTTCAATATAATCAGTTTTGTCCATTATGACAGCCGTTCGTCACTTGTCCGCAGGCAGGATTACTATGGTTTCGTCGGCCTTCAAGGATTTTAGGACACTCTTCTCCTGTTGTGTGAGAGAGAGTTGGGTTGCTTGTTGCGTGCTAGAATCGAAACCACGGTGTATCTTATTTGTATTTTGGTCTCTTCGTTAAGTCCATTAGATTGCAAGGTGTTTTCGAATTTTACGAGGAACTCCATGGTTCCATCATCCTTGAAGTTGTAGTTAAGTCCCTTGATGAGGACCTGTCGTTCAACCTCACTGAGCGGCCGGTTCGACAAATTCCCGACCCAGCCACCGTTGACATGTGCGCACTTCAAACTGGACAATTTGGACAACTTTTCTCGAAGGGCGGCCTGTTTTCTCGCTTTAGCAATTGCTGATTTGCTATCAAGCACTAGGTCTAGCTGTTCTGTTATTTGTTGGCTGACTGCTTTTAAGCATGTTGTTCGGTGTTGCTTAAGACATATTCCATATTTCTCGATCCAATTGTGGGTGTTAGTGATCATCATCACCATCCGCTTTCCAACCTACCTTGCAACTGCCGACGCTTGCGGATGATTTATCGGAGGCTTGTAGTTGACATTTCTGAGGAGAAGGTCATGTCGTATGCATTCATGGAGGAAGGATAACTGTTCCCATGTAAAGGCTTTCCGGCTGGCAGTCTTTCCAACGTTGATCAGATCAGAGCATTGAGCGCCCATGATTGTTTGCAAACAGACAGAACAGTGCGAGAACTGTGCGAAAGAGTATGTGGGGTAAACGGGAGAAAACTACCCACAAGGATACAAGAGCATAAGATTGCATGTCGATACCATTATTCATCGTCACAGATCTCAGCGCATCACGGTGAGGAAGCGTACAACGTTAACTGGGACAACACAGAAATTTTGGCGCACGGAGGGACAAGAAATAGGACAGAATTTCTTGAGGCATGGTTCTCTACGAAGAGTTTGTGGCTGATGCACTACTTACTTTTGCTCACAGCCACTTCTTGTGGCATACGAAGAAGCTTGGTATATAAGTTGTAAACTTTGGAAGTATTAGCTTCACTGCTTTGTGATAGGTATATCATCGGTCATCTCACAACCAGGTTCAAATAGTTGGTGGAACTACTTTGTTAACTAAGTCAACCAGTTTAACTGGTAAGACAGCTCTTTACTTATTTAGCGAGGATAAGTACCATGTAAGGAAATCTTTAATGTGGCAAAATGGTCAGCTGTAGCGCATGTTGTTCTAGTGGAGTCGCTGCACAAATATAAACCGATAACGGATGGTCGATAGTGCCACTTTCAATGCCTCAGCCATCTGATTCGAGCAATCATCACAATGTGTGATCTGAGCTGCTGTTCATTATGGTTACCAGTTATCATTTAGGCGTAATACGTTTGTCAAACGGCAACGCTCTTAGTGGAATCCATGCAAAGTAAAGTTCAGAAAATGCAGCCTCAGTTTTAGACAACGCACGAAGCGGCTCATATGCCTCAGGTATTTTATGAAAATAACAAGCATTGTCCTGTATTCCAAGTTCGATTTTCCATCATAGTAGACACCAATGTGATTGTTCTGATACCTGTATTTTGGTCTCATGGACGGATAGTTTAGGTTGGTTAACACGGACATACTGCGAGACGCGCATTCAAACCTGGACAACATTTGCCTGTGTCTCACTGTTTGGTATGCGCACTACTATGCTGGAGTGAAAGGTTCGGCTGCAGGTCTACCAGAGACATGCTCGATGCACCCAATCTGATTAATGCGAATAGGCAAACGCTGAACAATTTACCTGTGGTATCGACCGTCGGGTGATGTAGCAATTACTTCATGCTCTGCAACAGCAAAGATTGTCCTCATGAGTGTACCGAACCGTTGATTTTAAATTCCATTGATGTGTTTAGTGTTCCCGGGAAGTTATGAACTGTCAACACTTTCAACCGGTATCGAGTGGTAAGCATTATTATTACCATATAACGCCGCCCTCCTAGGTAAGTGGGGACCAGACATACGTAACACGTGCCCGAACCAACGCAACTTATTCAGTGCTATCTGTTGTTCTAGAGAGTTACAATGATTATCACCAACTAGTACTCGCCTACGCACATCATTGTTGCGGACACGCTGGTGTCATCCGACACCAGCAATGCTTCGCAGACAACGATGATCAAAGACTTGAAGGCGCCTCAGACCTTCAGACCCAAGAGGCCAAATTTCACTACCATAGAGCAGGACGGCCCTCACTGTGACCTTGTATACACAGACTTTCAGACGGAGGGAAACTCCCTTCTGTCGTCAAAGATGCCGCAGGTTCAAGAAGGCAGTTCTGGACTTTGCAATGCGTAAACAGACTTCAGTTTCTATGCGTCCATCGTTGCTGATGCTGCTGCCAAGATAACTGAATTGATCAACCACCTCGAGTTCCGCGTTAGCAAGGGTCAAGAGATCATAAAGTGGCTAGTGTTCCTGTAACAGCACTTTGCACTTTGAAGGTGCACAGGGCATACCAAATAACGGGGCCACTCTGGTCCGAATATTCATGGTTGGTTGTGGTGCCGCTACATCATCGAAAAACAAGATGATATCGTCCGCATAATCCAGATCAACTAATCTTTCGTCAGGCAGGACTTCATCACCTACATGGTGTGATTCCGCAAACGAACACTCCAGATGGAGTCCACCACGAAATTGAATAAAAGGGGAAAATCGGAAAACCCTGACAAACGACACTTATGGTCGGATAGCTATCCGACTGGTCACCGTAGACCCTGACGCGGCCTGTATTGGTCGAGTATAGAGCATGAAGGAAGTTCACATATTTCGTGGGAACACCTTTCCGCGCAAGTATTTCGAACAGAATCGATCGATCGACTGAATCGAACGCACTCTTGAAATCGAGGAACACAGTTATTGTCGATCTGCGGTATGCGTGGCGCTGCTCTAGCACCTGCTGCAAAGTGAATATATGGTCTATACAGCCACCTCCTTTGTCCAAACCTGCCTGCTCCTACCTAATCCGAGATCTTCGTTCATCAGTGAGGCGTCGAAGGAGAATCGTGGTCAGTAATTTTGTCACAACTGGCGTTAGGCTAATACCCCTGTGGTTAGAACAGCCTGTGCGACTGCCCTTCTTGTATATTGACACTATAATCGCTTCCCTCTAGTTAGCCGGGACACTCCCTTCCTTCCAGATACGTTCGAATATGGAGGTCAGTGCTTTGCAGAGAACCTCACCGCCATCCATAACTAGTGCAGGTTGGAGGGAATCCGGACCAGCGGCACGAAAACCATTGAGGGTTGTGATTGCTTTTCGGACCTCGGCCACCGACGGAGGTTCTAAAATAACCGTCCATGGCTCATCCTGCTTCACCTGAGTAGGAAGAGGTCTGGGAGCAGGGGGCCAGCTGAACTTATCTTGAAAGTGTTCCGCCCAACGAGGCATACGGCGCCCCTTATTGTGTATCAGAGCACCTGTGCTATCTCTGATTGTCTCACTGGCGCCTGGTTTCCTGGGTCCAGTGTTGCGGATCAGCTGGAAGAGCTTGCGGTAATTGCCTAATGCGCCTGCTTCCTCCGTTTCTTCAGCCCCAGTGGTCCCCATGTTTCTTTGTCAGCACTTAGGCTCTGCTTTAGTTCTCGCCTATTAATCCGTCTGGTCACATTGTGCTCAGAGCCAGGCGGGAGGTTTCTTCTGGATTCCAACTGGTTCACCGACCTCTAGGATATCCATTGACTGGTGCGGTGACGATTGATAGCGCCACGAGCAGATGTTCCTGCATCGTGCATGGCGGCCGAGATCCTATTCCACTGAAGCTCAGTGTCACTAGGACAAGCCAGTGAAACTTCGGTACGCAGTGCGTCTTGATAGGTTTGCCTGACCGAGGGCTGAGACAATTTCTACATTGCCAATATGAGGAGACGGTTGGTGCCCCTCCCGGTAAAGTTCAGGGAGAAGCAACAGCGTACTAAAGCACGATCCGAGTCGACGCAGGTATTCCAGTACGATCGGCAATCCAGAATGGAACCACGCCACATGTACCTCATGGCAATGTATTCAATTTGGGTCCATCGCTGGCCAGCTACAGGAGGACGCCAAGTGGTACTTCAGCGCCCACTGTGTCTAAAAGCAGTGCTACTAAGAAACACACAGTTGCAGCAGACGCTCGTCGTTGACAGTCCGTTCGGAGTTAAGCCCATACTTATCACCCAGCTGAACTTCTGAAGAGCTCAGACGCCATACTTGTGCGCTCAAATCCCCTGCATGTACTATAATATCTGAACTAGTAGCACTGCGCAGTAGCGCGTTCAGTTCGTGATAAGATATGTCCTTGACAGCATGTGAACTACAGTCGGTGGGGGCATAAGCGGAAATCACAAACAAACAACGTTTTGTACTACTTTCTGAATCAAACTTAGTTGATGTCGTCACACGGGCTGCACATAAACGGCTGTTCACCGGAATCCAATCAACCAACGATAGATTAGCCTTGAAGCCTAGAATGATACCTACACCAGTTTGACCCGTGAGTGCTGCATTAGTGTCTCCGGATGCATGCAACCAATGACGAGAGGACAAGCCGGGTGCAGTTAATTCAACAACTCCAGTAGCGTCATTGGCCCTAGTTTCGGATACACAACACACATCAATACCCAGCGTTTCCAAGGTGGGTGCGAGTGCAGCCTGTGGACCTGTTCGTTTTAGAGTGCGAACGTTGAATGTCGCCATGGAAACGGGATAGCGTGGCTTTATAAGGGACTTTTACCGATAGGCGTCCGAATAGTGCTGTGGGATGGTGGCTGCGGATGGTTGTAATCCAGTGGCACATTAGTTGCTGTCAATTAAGCTGGGAATTATAGAAGATAGGTTAATAATGGGGGTCGGGATGGGAGTAAGAGAAACAGGGGGAAAAGAATGAAGAGAGGCGCCAGGCGTAGCATGTTTTCGCTTATCTCCCCTGCTGTATGCAGCAGCTAAGGCGACCCTTGATAGTCTGCTCTACGGCCGATACAGGATAAAGTTTATTTTTGAAGAAGTAGTGATGGTTGCATGTGGGCTGAGATGCTGCCAGGGCGCCCAGACCTAAACAGGAGGATGATTAGGATCTTCATCCAAAGTCTTTGGCTCAAAAGCCTGTCCGCAAGGCAGCGGGGAGGTGGCACTGATTTAGTTTTACAGAAATGGACGCCATTCTACTTCAAACCCCCAACCTGGAGGACCAAGAGACCGAGTTTGTCTGACCTCTCACCATTGACCAACCTGATAGGAGTAGCTCTCAAGGTGTCCGGAGGCACAACCCACTATAACTCAATGGTTCAAGGAGGTACGCAAACCGTCGCATCAGATTAAGGTCTAGTCTCGTTGCAACTGCCTATATATGCATGTTATCGATTAACCAGAAAAACACTTTGCAATTTCTCTTTGGTGCCCGTGTGCATCTGAGACATGGTGATGTGTGTTTACTGGTTACAATTTACTGCTCTCCTATGTCCACAGGGAAGTGGCTCAGAGTCTGTCGCCTGATATGAGTCGCGTTCTGGCATGGTCATACAGTGGTTGGCTTGCCGAACTACCTCCTCGCGGTGCCAGCTGGGTGGTTTGGGATTATCGCGTTCCAGGGAAAAGTTCGGCGGCAGTGTTCCAGGACATGATGTGTTTTCGCCTGACAAGCATTCTTCCTAAAAATGCCACATATATCCGTCTAACAACACTGCGACTTGCCGGAAGTGACTCGCCACTACATAA